AGGAAGCGTCCGGCCTCATTACGACTTGGCAGAGCTTTGTTGTCACAGCGGCGGCGGCAACGACTACAAACCAAAGCCGGCCATGAATCTAACCATTAATTACCGGGGAACTCTCCGCCTTTCACAATGTTCACTGAGGCCGAGCAGGCGGAGAGGATCATAGTGTGTGCCAAGAGGATAGGGGAATACGTATTGTTCTCTGCAGCTTTCACACCGCCGACAGACCACCCCCCGCCCCCACCCCTCTATACATATATACATCATCTATAGAGCTCTTCCATTCAGGTCACTGGCTGAAAAAAACCCGCACTGCATCAGGAAAGGAAAACCCGCCGACTGCCCCGCAGGAGGACAAACATGCCAAACCATCATGGCTGCTCCTCTGTATTCTTTCCCATAATCCCCAGTTACTGCAATCATGGCACCGTGCTGTCAGACGCATGTTCTGCTGGAGGATGACATTTGTTTGCCCTGCGTCAGCCTCTCTCCTGCCCACATGACCACCAATCCATCCACTGGCATTCTAGGTCACGTCTGCACCCAGTCTAAGGCCCCGTTCACACGACGATCAGCCCGCACGTACAGCTCCGTGCTGCGTGCAGGGCCGTATCGGGCAGCTCCCGGGAAGGACAGGTGCTGCGTGTGATTGGTACGCAGCCCCCGTCCTTCTCTATGGGGGTACGTGGCCGTACACCGCCCTGCGCTCACCTCAAGTGCAGGTCCGTAGGGGTGCGTGTTTCCTGGCTCGGACGCAGAGAGGATCCATCCTGTCACCCGTACGGTCGTGCAAGGCGGGTGAGCGTAGAGGGTCGTACGGCCGCGTACTCCCAGAGAGAAGGACGGGGGCTGCGTACTAATCACACGCCGCACCTGTCCTTCCCGGGAGCTGGCCGATACGGCCGTGCACGCAGCACCGAGCTGTATGTGCGGGCCAATTGTCGTGTGAATGAGGCCTAAGGGTCGCGTCTACACCCACCGCCAACTTCAGGGGGTGGCGTCTACACCCACCGCCAACTTCAGGGGGTGGCGTCTACACCCACCGCCAACTTCAGGGGGTGGCGTCTACACCCACCGCCAACTTCAGGGGGTGGCGTCTACACCCACCGTCAATGTCGGGAGTCGCGTCTACACCATTGGCCATTGTTATTATCGATTTCATGATTATCAAGTCATTTCGGATCACACTGATGTACCACGAACGGTGGGTCTAATCATTTGGGGGGGGGGTCCCTGAGACCTGAAAACTATTTGAAGGGTTCCTCCATGTTATAAAGTCTGATCTACATTCTAGTACAGGGGGTAGTCAACCTCGACACTCCAGCATTGGTGAAACTACAAGTCCCATAAGGCATTGTAAGAGTCTGAAAGCCACAGTCATGACTTCCAGAGGCAGTGGCAGTATGCCACTGCCTCTGGATTTGTAGTTTCACCTCGGCTGGAGTGGCGAGGTTGCCTACCCCGGGTTCTAGGACCATTTTATGTACGCAGCATGTCAGATGACAGGATTTGATGGCAGTCACCTCTTGCTGGACACCGTCCAACCCTCGACTTATCGACTTGTCTTTTCCATATCTGTCCAGCATCTTCATAAACCTCTGAAGTACATCGCGCTGCAGCTGCAGGAGAGAGACGGGCGTTAGATCAGATCATTGCGGCCAGAGGGAGATCGCAGCGATTGGCCGCCGTCCCCGTTTCAGGATTCGTCCCTGCACTCCAGGAAAACAAAATGCAACAATGTAACAACTGTGTAAAAATAAAAAGTATCCCATAGAGCTGCTGCAAACATCTACAATGTATCCATCCCAGCCAGATTCTCCTTACACATTTCCGATTACTGGAGGATAATG